AGAGATACTATCCATTCCAATTGTGTGTTTTTGAAAATCAGTGGGCAGCAGCTATGTGGATTTACTTTTGTGTTCTTTATTCTGTTGTTTTCGAGACTATCTGTCTATTTTTATACCACTGCCCCTTTTGCTTATTTGTGCTTTGTAGTATATTTTGAAGTAAAGTAATATCATGCCTTTGTTTTACTCATTTTGCTTAAGACTCTCTTGGCTGTGTGAGGTCTTTTGTGTTTCTATATGAATTTGAGGATTGTTTTACCTGTTTCTGGGAAGAATTTAATTGGTATTTGGGTAAGAATTGCATTGAATCAGTAGGTAACTTTAGGGAGTATGGAAAGTTTAATAAAATGGATTCTTTAAATTCATGAACATGGGATGATTTTCTATTTATTGTGTCTTCTTTTGTTTCTTTCATGAATGTTTTCATCTGGATGTATTCATTTATTTATTTATTTTTATTTCAAAGATAGTAAAATCCAACAAAACAACAACAAAAAAAAAGCCAATCAAAATAAAGCAGCAAAATTGGTACAGAACTTCAACGCAAGATACAAGGAAAACAACGATAGCTACCATAGTATATCTTGTTATCTTTACAGTAGTTCTCCATTCTATCAGATACAGCAAATAAAACCCATAACAAAACAGAATAAAACCAATCATAACAGAATATTGAATAAAGCAAAACAATCAGAACAAGGCAAAACAGTGAGAACCATACTGAATTTTAAAGACAAGGTAGAAGGAAATTCCCCATATGTGCCATATTGCGCTGCATGGCTTGCATGGTTTACCAGAAAGCTGGTTACCAGATCCTCCCAGTCCCAGCATGGCTGATTCTCAAGAGGCGCTGACTTTTCTCCTCATCTGGATATATTTATAACGACTTATTTCAGTTTAAACTTCTGTTCCAAATGCATAGAGAACAAATGGGGAAAATTCTCAAAAGTTTCCTTTAACATACTAGTTCTGTGACTCTGAAAAAAATGAGCTTTCTTCAGCTACTGTAGTATTATAATTATTTCTTGATCATTACATTTCTTCTTTAAGTTTATGGTTCATAAAAGTGCTGTTACCTTTCCTATTCCCTTGTCCTTTCCTTTCCTTTCTCTATTTCTAAATTTTATGGGGATTTATTGACAGTTCTTATCTGCTTTATACCCTGATCTTTTTTCTGTGTTCTACCTACTCTTGGCTTCCTTCTAGTGGTACTTTTTGCTGTATATTATGGTGACTTTTTACTCATTTTTGCATTGGATAAGTTCGTTTTGGTACTTCAATTTGGGGTTGATACTTGGGGTTAGTGGGTTAGTGAGCTGCAGCAAGTTTGACTTTGGGCTGATTGTTCTTTTTTTTTTTATATATATAAATTTTTTTTTTGTCTTTTTTCGTTTTTATCGGTACCAGGGATCGAACTCACAACTGCCTGTATGAGGGCTGATTGTTCTTAACCTCCTTAACACTACTCTCCATAGTGTTTGAGCCGGCTGCTCTCTAGCAGGACACCCTTGTTCACAGTAGGGGGCTTTCCTCCAAAGTTCCATGGTGTGTGATGTTGCACATGTGTCTTTAGACAAGTAAGATTCAGACTTCCTCTTTCTCTGAAACTTGGTTCAGTTTTTACAGTACTTAGTAGCTCTTATTCATAGATGATGGTTTAGGTTCATGAACATCTAGTTTAGTCAGTTGTTTGCTTTACTGGTTTTCCTCCTCCCTGTTATTTTTTGTGAATTTCAAAAAGAATCAAAGAGCAGAGAAATTTTTATTCTGCCTTATTAACATAGAAGTTGCACAATAATAGTCTTTAACTTGTCTTCTACCTTTTAATTTGTCTTTTGATGTTCATTTTCTGCAGTCTGCTTATTCAAAAGTACAAAGCAGAATGTATAACTTTAAAATGCACATTCCATTTAGCTTAGAAGATAAATTACAGTCATCTCAACATGGTCTCACCAGCCCCATATGAAATGGCCTCGGTATCTTTCTTCTCTAATCCTAGTTTTATTATTCCTTTACATTTTAGGAATTCTGAGGGTGTTTTTTTTTTTCAAAATCTCTCAAATAGCATACTACGAGATTTGATATCTGTATTCCTTTTTAGGTGCCTGTCTCTTCTCTTACTTACCTAGTAAGTTTCTATTTATTCATTAAAGCCAAGGTCACAACAATGTTTCTTTTTTGAATCCTCCCTTCTCTTTGAAACAATTGATCTTTCTCTTCTCCGTGCTAGCTCTTCATATACATTAATTACTGCATTTCTTTACTGTTTTATAATTGTTTGGTAGTTACTTTTCTTCACCAGGCTATGGATCTTTTGAAATTGTTCTTCATATCTTTGTCATTCAGCATAAAGCTTAGTACTTTAGAGTCTCAAGTAACTAAATCAATATAAGTTAAAAGATTCAAACATGAATAATAATTACTTAGTTTTAATAAAATAGGAGAAACATTTTAAGTTCAAAACTTGATGTTTTTCTTTGGTGAGTCAGAATAAAATAAATTTTTTAAAAATACTAAAACAAGGCCGGGGATTTAGCTCAGTGGCATAAGCACCTGCCTTGCAAGCAAGCAGTAGTGAGTTCGATCCCGGTACTGATTTAAAAAAAAAATACTAAAATAAAACAGCAAAAGTATGAACATTTAATAGATAATGGTAAAAAAAAATACTAAAATAAAACAGCAAAAACATGAACATTTGATAGATAATGATAAGAGACCAGAATCAGGAAAGAAGCAAAGAGGACAACTGTAAATCATGGAATTCCTTGAATGCTAGCACTAGTTCACCTTGTGAGGACAGATATTAACTTCAAGATAAAGTACACATGGAGGAAAAAGGCATGATCTGGGACAAAACTGTGCGTCTTTCAGGGGTAGTGGAAAGAACAGGCAGTGGGCTTCTCTGCATGCCTCCATGTCGGATTGAAGAAGGTGATCTGTTCTTGAGATTCAACCTCTGTTTTAAAAATAAATGCTTATATTGCTGATTTCAGGCTATTTCTTTTCTCCTGAGTTAAGTTCTATAAAACTTTTTCTGCCCATTTCCAGCAGTGATGAATGATGTGCTTGTCTCAGCTGTGTAATTTAGTGACTTGTTGCAGTAAAAGGTGAAATACTGGGTGAGGATTGAAATACTCCATATGTCTTAGAATTCCACAAACCTAGGCATGGAGGAGACACTCAGCACAGAAACTCAACAAGGCTAATCCTTGCAAAACATTCTGAAATTGATAGTGCTTCCCTGCTGCCTGGACGCATTACAGAATGCATCCCCTTGGGACTTTAATGGAGCCATCTGGAATTTTTCAAGTTTAATATTAGTTCTTTGCTTTTACAGAAAGACAGGAAAGACCCTCCTTCACAGGCTCTCCATCTGAGACATTTATTTGTCCATTGGAATTAAGATTTATTTGTTTCTCTAGGTAGCAGGTTTGAGAAGTTATTTATAAACAATCCATGATATACTTTTGCTTGCATCTTTGAAAATGCCAAGAGTGATGAGATTTCTAATTGCTAATGCTTTTTTTTAATCTATCAGAAGCTTGAAAAATTATTCCACTTGATTTAAAATATATGTTACTCTTTAGATTCACCATAGAATCCCTTTTCATCTTCAACACATTATATTTTTCTGAGTCATTGAAATAGATTATATGTGTCTCTGTTGTGGAGCATTATGGATGAGGAGCTTTGGTATTTAGGTTGCCCATATTAGAGCCAGTGGAGCTTCAGCCTTATTTCTGATACCTTTTTTGCTCATTTTGACCTAGCAGCCACAAAGTTGTCTTGAAAAGGTGATTGAGCATAACATGATGACTTTTTGAGGCATTACAGAATGTGTCTGGGTCTGATTATTAGCATGGTGGTGCTAAAATCAGATGTATTCAATAAGTTTAAATTAAACGCCTACTCATTCTAAATACAATACAGTTCACCCTAGAAGAAAGACCAGTGTGAACCCGTACAGAATAAGGAGACACAAAGAAGAAATATCCTCCATTAGTCAACTCTACCTGGGAAGGCCAAACAGTGTTTGTTTCTCAAGGTGGCAATGATGTAACAGTTATGGCAAGTTCTTGCTCATGCTTCTCCATCACGCTAATGCTAATTTTCTTTTCCCCAAGTTTGACACCCTCTGTAGATTTCACATACAAAAGTCTACTTGCAGACACCTGTGAGACTGAAATGATTTATACTTTGTCACTAATGGAAGTTTTAAAGTTTTCTCTCCATTACTGCTATCTACTCACAAAAAAAAGTCTTTCAATCAAGACAAGAGGTTAATTCATTTGTATCACTCACTGTATCTCTGTTAAGAGTTAACTGCAGGAAAGAGAGATTTTTCTGGTTGACACAGTGCTTCTTTTCATGTGTAACTACCATAATAAGACCCAGACCCACAAAGGCTATGCAAAAATTACTGAGTATGAAAGTTTGTGAGAGTCCCAACATTGCCTTCTTGCCTCATTCTGATTCTCATAGATACAGAGACAGAAGGCTGGCACGCAGGGTTAAGCTCAATCTCACACATTAAATTCTATGCTATTTCTTTATTTTTATCTAATACTTTACTGTCCAAGAAAATCTCTTTTTATCTATAGATACTCCACCTAGTGTCTATAGCTATTTAGGCCCTTCTGGCGGCCTCACTTTGGGTACTAGGCAAATTCACAGGATTTCGCCCTTTACCGTATTTCTATGAGTTTCTTTTTCTGTATAAGTTTAGACTTAATTAAGTTACTGCAGTTCTGTGACACCATGCATAGATATGACATTTACTCAATGCCCGGTACCCAAACAATCTAGATTTAAAAGTTACTGATTACTGAAAGTTGAGATTTGAAAGTTACTGATTGGAATACACTATACAACCAGTGTATGTATTAATTATACTATTTTCTATATTTTCTGTTTAATAGAATATAACTTCTATAAAATTCTTTGTGGTTATTGTTGTTATCATATACAAAGTATTTATCATATTTATTTTCTCTTTACAGGTCACCAGTCTCTTCAGAAGATCATGGTAAGAATCTGCCTTATTTATTCTAATTAAAAGTTGAGCCCTGGTCATTGAGTTTCACTGTCAAAGTGAAGAATTATTTAAGAAAGTGTCTCTAAGACATAGACCTTGTAGTATTTTGTTTAAAGTGAAATGCCAAACACATTTGTAGACTTAATCCACCCTAGCTGAATTTGCTATCTCACATTATTTTCAAATCTGTTACAACCACTTGATTGGCAATTACTGTGAAGTTTAGTGTAGTCTGGCTGATTTCTGTCCCATCACCAGAAACTTCTTGTGGTTTTGAGCTGTTCATCATCTCTGAATAATGTTTATGTCTTTTAAATAGAGGTTTGTAGTAGACATTCCCAGAAGTTCCTTCCATGTTGGACATTGGGACCTTTGTAAAATCTGAAACTAATTAGTAAGTTACAAGAGTTGTTACCTAGTCGAAATGAACTATTTGTACTTTAAGAGACAGTTGTCTCAAAGAAGAAAATATCTAATTACATTTCATCTAAGCTTTAGAATTATTCATTTAATCAATCAATCAAAATTTTAAGTGGCTGTAATGGTCAATTATGCTATGTAATAATGTTTTACAAATATCTGCAGTTTATACAGCTTTATTTTGGTTTCTCTTTATGTGTTTCTTGTACTTTTCATTGTTTCAAAACTGATATCCATGCTTGTAGTTCACTGTGCACAGCACTAAGTGGTCATATTAGACACACTCCCATTGTCCAGGGGATGAAATCTTTCCAACAGACTGGTGGTTTCCATATTGAGTTTTAATGTGGACTAGTATGTTCTAAACAATGGAATATTTGTCTTCCTGTACTGCTCATTTTTTATTTTGCCTTCTTTTGCCATTCTACTTGTGATCTGTACTCCAGCCATGATAGCAATTTAATTTCTAAAACTCACCATGTTTCTTGTGTCACCCTTTTTTTGTCTGTACTGTCTCTTTGGCAAGAAACTACTTCTTTTGCCATGTAGACCATTTCTGCCCACCTTCCCTCTTATTCTGTGAGAGCTCTCTGGTCTACTTATTGTGCCAAATATGTTTCTCCAGTCCAGGATTTAACATTCAAATTTGAGGCTTTATGTAGCTGGTTTCCCTATTAAATGTGAGTTCTTTAATATGGTTAACACTTTTCAAACATACAAAATATTTATGATATGAATAAATTAAGGAAATTTACCTGGAGTTTGAGGCAGCTCTTCTTGTTACCACATCATGAAATCTGTTCCAAAATCAGAATAAAGTTGCATCTTGCCTTATGAAGAATCACAGGGAAAATTATCTTTATGCCCAAGTCAGAATTAGGTAATCAACTACCTAATGGTAGCCCATTAAAACGTGTTATTTTGATGATTTTTGCTGGTATGAATAGATTTTTGATTGCATATTTATAGGTCCTTGAACTTCCATGTCCAAAACGGTAAACTAGAAACTTGTGTTTTTATTTTTAAACTAGCTTTGCCCTCACTAATTTATTGCTTTTGTCCTCCTGTCTGTAAGAACTCATTGTCCATTCAAAAGAGAGAGAGAAACAAATTCTTAATTTCAATTTTCTAGTCCACTAGGACTTGTCTAGCGGTTATGAGATACCATTGAATGTATATCAGTGTCTTTGGAAGGTTGGAAGTGACTACTACCAGAAAGACTTGATTGTTAGGAAGAGCACTTCAGAATTGATTATTTTAACAGCTCTTGTTTGTGATCAGTTGAAGAAACAGTACCCAAATCACAAAGTTACTATATTTTTATGACTTCAAAAAAAAGTATCACATGTCTGTGCATCTTAGGTTGCTTCTACAATTCCCCAAAATAGTTTAAATGTATAATATAGATTTATCTAATGTAGCCTAATTGTTTATAATCTTCTATACCATATGTCCTTAGAAAAATATTTGTATGAATTCCTTTATAGCCAGGATTTTCTATCTAGCACTCAATATATATATATATATATATATATATATATATATACACACAATCTCCTTTCATTTAGAGATTTTGGGAGCTTTATTTACTCTTATAAGAGCTCTTAGATGTCATACCATCAGATTTGCATACTATCATATGTTTGCACATAGCGCAGTACATTTGTAAGAGGGAAAAATAACTTTTCAAATTATTGTAAAACATTTGAGACACATTGGGCAAATGGATTGTGAAACTGGAATATAAAACCAATGTCTCTTGGATTTCTATTTTGTTCACTTTCCAGCAACAGTCCTACTTTAATGACTTGTGCCCTTTGACCATCTGTGAAGCAGAATTTATTCTTGGAGAAATCTAATTTTGAAAAGTCCAATAAGTCATTTTCCATTCTTAACAGATACCCTTCATAGAATACATGGCTCTGTCATTCAAACTTTATTTTTCTTGATTTTGTTTTCCTTTATCCCTAAAATGGAGCTAATCATATCTGCTCCACATGTACATAGATAGTTGTTGAGTACAAATGGGAAATCATCTGTCCATTTGCCTTCTAAATTACTAAGAACACTTCAGACTTAATGTTATCATCGTCTCATATCCAGGCAATGGTGGAAGAAGCACAGATTTATTGATGACTCTTGTTCAGCACTGTATATTGTCTTTGAAAAATTGAAAGAAGGGGGAGTGTTCAGTGGGAAACTGTTTCCTTCTACTTTTTCATTAATGAAATTGGTGATCCAGTGTGTAAATCACATGTGGGAACTATTTCTGTTTATAGAAGAGTGTGTCAGGGTCATTGAGGATAAAGGCTAGAATTTTTTTTTCAATTTTTTTTTCAGTTTTTAAAAAAATTTTATTTAAGGAGAAAAAGAAAAAAAAGCAGAAAAAGGATACAAGTTATACAGAATTTCAGAAAAAATAAACAGGAAAATCACTAGTTAATAGATTACATATTATCATCTTAGAAATAGTTGTTCAAGTTACAAAATTAAAGCATATAAAGTAGACATTCAAACAGTGAGACTGTAAACAGTTCTGTTCAATGATCCAACAAAACTCAGTAATATGGTTATCTATCTTATAGACTTAAATATACATGCAGTTATGTCCTTTAGAGAACTTTCTTTTCCTCTCTTTTGTACGACAATTACACATTTTGGGTTTTATTACTCCTAAAGTTCTTACTATTTTTTTTTTTCTGTTATGTCACATTTGGTTTTACTCTCTTCCAAAAAAACTAGAATTTATTGAGCATTTATGCAAAGACTGTGCTAACATGATTTGACTACATTCATTTCATCTTTAACTACACTGTGCATAAGATGCATCATCCTCAATTTTATAACTGGGAAAACAAACTCAGAAAACTCAAATAACTTGCCTAGGATTATAGCTAGTAAGTAGTTCAGTTAATTTTTAAGCCTAACTTTTAGCACCCAAACACTTGCTCTTTTACCCACCTTGTCCCCAAGAAACCAAAGAAATGGTTAAACTTAAGGTGAATTGATAGAATTATCAGGAAAAAAAAAAAAAAAAAAAACTATTCCTTCCTCTAACAAGAGCTCATTTAGTGCTGTGTAAGTAATTTCTTTTTAATGACAAAACAAAACAGAACAGAACAAAAAACAATGCTTCTCCCTCCTGCTGGCTCCCTCTGTGATCTGTGTCTGTAGAAAAAGTAAATACCAATGTCACATTTTCTCATACTTAGTTAACTGAGTGAAACTGAAGCTTGGGGAAACCCACCACGCTCAGCCCCATGGGAACATTGCATTTTCAGGCCACATCTGGAGTTCTACTCTTGTCAGAAGACATGCTTGGCAGTGACTGATTGCTCTGTCCTTGAGTTTCTTCTGCACTTAGTGCCTATCACTTCTTCATTTAAATTGCTCCTCTGCCTGGTGGCTTCTCCAGCTCTAAGCTCTCAGCTTCTGGTGTCTTAGCCTGCTTCCTGTCATAGAATACGATTCTCGCAGCTGCCAGTTGACCAGCACGCTGTGGGGAAGTCATCTTCCAGCTAATGTCTGCTCCATTACAAAATGAAAACCATGATTGGCTCTTGAAAGGAAGCACCACCAGTCAGCTTGATTCCCCTTAGAACATCTGAGGCAGGCAGCCTTCCCCTTTCCGTGCTTTCGACCTGTTGGCTGTCACAGTAGTCACACTCTGTGGTAGCTGGCTTGGGGCACTGGTAATGTAACAGACAAGGATGGCCGCATGAGTGTCTGGAAATAATTGTATCACCCACAATTACAAGTGTCAAGTGCCCAATCTATGCTCAGGAGCAGAGGTAACTGTATTTGGTAGTAGTTTGTATGATGGAGCACATCTCAAAGGCATCAAATAGTGTCTCTTGTGAATTCATTTATCTTTCGTGTAAATATACATATTTATTGAAATAAATAGTGTTCACGAAACATAGAAAATGTGTCTTCTTGATTTTAAAACTGAAAAGGGGACCAAGGATATAGCTTAGAGGCATTAGTGCCTGCCTGGCAAGCGCAAGATCTTGAGTTTGATTTCTGGTTTAAAACAAAACAAAACAAAACATAAAAAAGAAGAGGAAGTATTACGATCCCAGGATAAAAAATAAAATTTGACAGCAGCCTGGGAACTTCATGTTTGCTTTACTGACTGTTTTTCTCTTCCCTGTTCTTCAGAAATCATTTCTGTTCTGTTTTCACATTGTTCATGTCCTTGTTTCTTTGTATCATTTTACTGCCTGCATGCATTCTCCATGCTTGAGTCTAAATATGAGTACAGATCCAGACACATGTATATTTCTCTGTGGGTATATGTGCTGTATGCATATGAATTCTACCTTGTGTAAACTTTTGCAAACTAAATCAGATTGTATTTCCTTCTCTGATTTGTTTCTCTTATTTAAAATAATGCTTTTATGATTCATCATTGATGGTCTATTTTATTTTATCAATTATTTATGTTTTATAATATTCCACTCTATGAATATACAAGTAGTTTACATATTAACCTGCTGCCAATGAATGTTTATATAAACTATGGGTTTGTAAATATCTTTCTTTTGTTCTTTTGGCTGTTGCGAATAATG